CCGATGCCAAAATTCTTGGGCCTCTTCTCGAACAGGGGGTTGACCACCTTCTTGGCCTCCTGCTTCTTCACGACAGCAGGGGCCGGGGCCACCTTCTTCCCCTTCGCCTTCTTCCCTTTCGGCTGCACGAGAAGGAACCCGGTTAGACCAGGTCCTCCCGTCCCCGTGAGGCCGGGCTGCCTGCCGACGTCCGGGTGGCCCAGCAGCGAGCCCGGCGGCCGCCCACGTCTACGTCAGTGATCCTGGCGCTCAGGCACCAAACACCCTCCACACCCTCTGCACGAGCCCCGGCAGCCACGCGGCCACGTTCGTCCGCGACGCCGCGCAAGGGCCGAGCCGGAGCCGGCCCCGTCCCGGAACTGCGCGCCCCTTAAGGGCCCGGCGTACAGCTGGCGTTGAACCCCTCGCCCGAGGCCCCTGGGGCAGCCCCCACGGCGCGGCAGACCCTCGGCCCCGGCGTTCCGAGCCCCGCATTGCGGCGCTGCGCTCCCCCGGCCCGGGCCCTCCTCCCCGCACTGCCGGACGCAGCCTCCAGTATTACACCCGGCCTGATGCCTCCCTGCCAGGCCCCGCGGGGCTCCCCTAGCGCCGGGCGGTGGAGGGATCCCCGCACGGCCACGCCCCGAAGAGGATGGCAGCGGATAGAAGCCGGACCCAGCGCCAACACAACGAGCCGCAGGATCACTCACCATCTTGGGTTGCTGGAGGAGAGAGAAAGAAAAGGGAGTTGTGGGTAATATGTAGGCGACATCGGAGATCGCGAGAACTGGCGCCTGCGCGGGATTTCGGATTTAAAGGGACAGGACCGCTCTTGCCCGCCTCCGATCTGGGGCGGTGCCTTAGCGCGGCCGCCGCGGCGGATCGCGGCGAGCGGCGGGGAGCCAGGACTTCCGGGGAGGGGCGTGCGCTTGTCTGCACCCCTCCCCACCCCTGTACCCAGCCGGGTCGCCCCGGGCTCTGCGGACCAGGTGGGGGCGTCGGGGCGGGGTCGCCGTCTTTTCTCAGGTGTGACCCCCCATTCCCCTGCTACAAAGTGACTCCCAGGCCGCGAGTTCCGTCGGTCGGCGGCGCGCAGGCCCCGCGCCAGTCTGCCGGAGCGCGCGGGCGCGCGGGGAGGGAGGGTGGTCCCGGCCGAGGCCCCCCGGAGCGAGCAGGCTGTGGGCGC